TCCAAACCAACAAAAAATCCACACTTTAGAACTTTCAAAATGCTTTTGTTTTGAGGATCTGTTTTGTGGAACCAAATATAATTGTTTCTGATGCGTTGAATAGAGGGGGGAAGGATGGAATTATTACATCAAATGTACATTTTAGTGTTAAGAAATGAGAAGTGAGTGACCACGAATTTAATTATGTCAAACAGATGTACTGTGGACCAAAGGAGCACTCCATGTATAAAGCATTTATATTTACTTTTTAATGTACTGGTGAAACTGTAAGATATTCACTTTTCTAAATATTTTGTAGCCCTCTAAAGCCACAACATGATCTTAAAGGATGCTTTATATTTATCAGATTTTTCAAAACCTTCACCTTTTCAAAACTATTATTTGTTCTTTTATTCAATTCATCTTAACATTTAAGAGGTACATACTTCCTCAGATGAGATTTTCTAGATGGTATTTCATTTCAACACAGTGACTTGACTCTGATAAAAACAGAGCTTCTCTTGAAGTAAATGAAGAAATACATACGTACTGTGGAAATTTAGCCATTCCATATCTGGGGGCACTAAAAAGTATTGGTTGTGTTTTTGTGTTGTTTTTTTTTTCTGTTGTTCACCTATTGAGATGAGACTAGCTGGAGAAGAATGAAAATATATCAACTAGTTGTACCAATTCATAATCAATAAAAAAGCTAAACACTTAAGCAGAAAATAGATCACAGATTTGTTCCCCAGCAAAGCAGTTATTTTTACCCAGCCATCATCATCAGAAGCCGCATTATAACAAATGATTTGCTCGAAGCCGCCGTAATACATGGACCCTATGGGGTCCTGTGATTCAGATTTAGGAATATCAGCCCCAGAGGGTCTGAAGACATTGTGCATTAGTATGTATTGAGACCTCATTCCAGGTGGCAAGCGGCTGGACTTTCTTAAAAAGAAAAATGTATAAAACTTCCAAAATAAAGGTAGAGTGCTTGTTTGCAGGCAAGAAGTGTTATATTGCATTGAATCCTCTTGCCTCCAAATGTTATAAATTAGGCAGAAAAGGGAGCCACGCATATTTAATATATTTGTTTTGTATTTCCACTAGTCAAGGGAATAATGAAATTCCTTAACTACTTCTCTTTAACTTGCATGAAGAAAGCACGGTGTGTTGCTAAATCTCTTTTCAACCAGCACTGCCGAGAAACAACTTTAATCCTTGTTAGAAAATTGCCGAGTCTGGGGCTGACAAAGAGCTCATGCTTGTTCCATTGTTAGTGCTCCCCGGCCCCAAGAGCAGCGCCCTTTAGAGCTGCGTGGATCCCGCCCGGCTCAGCTGCACTATTTAGGAGACGAGGTTTGTCAATTTCTATTGACAATGGAGAGAGTTTTTCAGGGCCTGTAGCAGTGCTGACACAGTTGGGGATCAATGCCAGCCATTCAGAATGCACCCTCTTTCATTGCTTTGGTTTGTTAATTCAAGACTAAAGGTCCACTGAGGGGGTTCAGGGTGTTTAAGAAAGCTGATGAACTGTTTAAGAAAGCTGATGAACTGCAAGCGTTTATAGCCCTGGTGTGGCAATTTCCATAGTCAGTGGCAACTCCTAGCACTAAGGGAGCTGTGTCCTTGTTGACCCTCTTGTTATTAAAAATGCACAAGTGCTGCGCTTCTCAATATTTCAACACTCTTTCATTGTCAATACCACCTTCTGAGCCCTTCAGCTTGTTGCTTGCTCTAAAGATCTTCTTAGATTGGGTTTGAAAACTTCACCTTAAACACTAGATTAGACTGATGTTCTGTTTTCCGTGCTCCTGTTGATTTGTTGAACCTTCCCAGGGCTGGAAAGCAAGTAGCAGCTTGATGGGGAGACGGGCCGCTAATATGATTTACCAGTCTACAGTCATGCACAATAAGTGTGAATAAATACAGGGGTCTCACAGAGTCAACCCTAGCCTTTCCTTTTCTTTTATTTTTGCTTTAAAAGAGATATCTCAAGAAGATGAAGTGAGTAATGCATGCCCTTACAGGAGTTGAATGAACCACAAAAAGAAAAAAAAGCCACATATTTTTTGTTAAAGTGGTAGGCTGCTGGCATGGATTGATGAAGGGAAAAAAAAAGAGTGCAGAATATACACTTACTGCTTTATTCCTAAGTAGACCAAGGAGAGAATAAAGCAGTGATGCCATACCCATGACTTGAGTGCAAGCTCCAGCGCCCCTTCGTTGTCATCCCCTGAAGGGAAAAGTGAATAGTCAACCAAGTTGCTTTATAAAATTAACTTTTCCAAACTGAAAGCACATTTTCTAACAATCACACTTCACTGCACATTCACCCCTTTCAAAAATTTTTTTTCTTTGTTTTGGGGGATTGGTTTGCTTCGATAGAGCTGGTGGGTGGGTGAGGGGAATGAAGCTAACTTACCTTTGAAATCTTTTTTCAAAATAAAAAAAATGAGACCTACCATCCTGCACCCAAAAGAAGAGCATTTCTATTCCAGCTCCAGAAATACAGAAATGCTACTGACATCTGTTTTGTTTGGTCGTTTTATTTTTTGTGTGTGTGTGTGTGTGTGTGTTTCACCATATACAAGAAAGCAGCAGTCCCTAGTGAGGTTTTTTTTTTTGGTTTGTTAGCTTATTCTTCATAACACCATAAACTCTAAGCTAAGCTGCTTATTTCTCTTCATTTGCTTGCTTCCACTGAAATTCTTCAAAATGCTTTGACTTGGGAATTAAAATTATGCATGATTAGTGGGTGAAATAATTTCTCTTATAGAATGTTCCTTGTAGACTACTTTGTTTGCCTTTAAAGCAAGATGATGATGCAGTGGCTTAAGCATTTTATTAACATTAATTCTTTTTCTCTGTTTTTATAGTTGACTTTAGATATTTGATTCCCAAATTATTCTTCTTTAAAATTACAGTTTTGGCATTGTGTTATAGAGTTATATTAATAATAAGTTTCTGTGTTATATTAGATGTCCTTTCAATTATCACTTAATCATAAGTATCATTTACATGTAATAGAAAAATGAAGTTATATTAATTTTAAATTATCTGTGGATTTTTAAAGAACATAAGATGCATAAGGAGTAATTTTAAGAAGGCATTTTCATTTATCTCAAATTCATACAACTTACCTCTTATATAGTGACTTTACAGTCTGACAGCCAGATTATTGCGTATGTTATAAATTTAGTACAATATATCATATTTTGTCTCCCAACTAAATTACCCCTTGAAGAAGCACTATAATTTAAGAGTCATAACCATCACAGCTACATTTTACCTTTCAAGTTACTTGGAGAGTGGAGTAGAGGTAAGGGTGTTTGTTAGTTCAGTATACTCATATTCAGTATCACCAATACCTCTGAGTGTTTGCTTGCATTAAAATAGGACTCAAGAAGTTGAGGCTATCATTTAAAATAAGTAGAGGATTTAAATATCAGATACTAATCTATTAAGATTTAATATGTCAGCTGAAGTACTGAATTTATTATTTTTAAGAATTTAGGACTATCTTGTTTTATAAAACTTGTATCTGATACCTTTACACATTCTGAAAGTTGGGAAAGTAATCATTAGGGAAAAAGTAAAACTGGGTACATGAATAACATTTTTTAAAAAAACCGTAGCCCATCTCACATTTTAAAAACTGGAATGTTCATTCTTCCATTTGATATCACAATATTCATTTTCAAGTAGCTTATTTTATGCATGTATCCAGTATATCTACCAATTAATAGAAATAAGTCTGATGAAATCTTAAACCAATTCATTTTTACATTATGCTTAAACTACCATTCATTATAGTAAATTTTGTTAGAACATGTTATAAAATACAAGTCCAGGTGAATTTCAGACTTATATCACTTGAGATTTCTTTTAGAAATTTGACACAATTTACTGCTTTATTGTGGAAGAAATATTTTTTCTGTTTGAATACCTAACAACATATGCACGTGCATATGTGATCTGTGCTGTCACTGTTTTTGTATATACAAGCAAAGCACAAAATCCCTTCTCTCTCAAAAACTCTCTTGTCACTTCCTAAATGCTACATGGACGTTGATATTTCTCGCAGTTATCTGAATGAATAGCATTATTTTCTTACAGTATTACCTAAACCTGACTCTGGCATATGAGTACCAGTTCCCTTAAAATGTCATCACTAATGGCGGATTGCCTTTTCTTGAAAATGGGAACAAAATTTCTTCTTTTACAATACTCACAGACATTATATAGGAGCAAGAAAGTACATTAGAGGAGAATTTCAGTTTTCCCCTCAAGAGCGTTTTCATAAACAGAAAACATGAACCCTCCAAAAACACTTGCAAAATGAAACAGATTGTTTTCCTTTATAATTTGGTCAACTGACATCTGTTTTTGTAATTCTTATAAGACACAAGGATTCCATCCTGATAATGTTCCTTTCTAAGATCTGAAATCTTTATTTTAAGTGGTTTTAAGCCATCTTGGCAAATACTTAACAACCAGTAATAGATAAAGGTGTTTTGGGGGATTAGAGGTTAGTAAACTGTGGATGTTTTTTGCCATCCCTCCTTTAAAATGCTGTTTCTAGGTATTGCCTACATGCATTATGGCATCTACTGATTTTTACATAACCTACAGATTAATGGGAAATTTCCCTTTGAAAATAATTTACCCATTTTTTTCCTGCTGCTTGGCAGTCCATTCAGTCCCACATCATGTATTTAGGACCCATTGTTACCTATAAATTACAAAGCAGGCCGCTAGGCTGCAAAAACACTGTTTCCCATGCACATGTTGCAGCTGAAAGACTGTAATGTTAATTCATATAAAGCACAGCCCGGGTCAATTTAGCAGATTCTCTAGCAAAATGTACAATTCTGTTAACAGAAATTATAGCATTATTGACTTCAAGTGCTGATCTGTGGTCATTTCGGAGTGTTTCATTACCCCCTCATTACCGAATCTGTTAAATGAGTACTGTTTTGTTTTGTTCTCCTGCCTTCTGCCCCCATCCTTCTTTGCAGCAATGGTACAACAGCTCCATGAAAGTCATCTGTGTGTGGCTGGCTGATAGATTAGACCTTCAGCTTCATATTTACCAACTGAAGACACTCATCAAGATTGTGAAGGTAAACAAAATGTGTTGAGACGTGAATTGCCCACCAAGCTATAAAGAATAATGGCAAGATATTGACATATAAGAAAATCATATTTAATAGAACCGAGTGGATGTAAGTACTTTAAAAACATCACTGTTGGCAATGATGCACTGCTGTTTATTCCATTTTCAGTGAGACTACAAAATAAACACAAAGATTTATCATGTTTCCACTAATAAAAAGTATTTTGTTACCAAGGAATCACATTTTAAGATAATATGCGTAAAGCCCCTACCATATTTTGCCTAAATGTAGTAGGTCCATAATAATTCTGTATCAATTATCTTAGTTATAGCAATGTTTTTTCCTCATACATTTCCTTCATATTTATTAATATATCATTAGAAGGGTTTTGAGTTGTATTTGCCCCTAAGACAAGGAGAATCTCCATTATTTTTGTTATATCCTGATATGAAAGTAAAACGTTGTCACTGCCTGAATTCTTTTGGAAGCACACCCCAATATGTGAGAGTTGATCAGTGTGAGTGTTGGGGACCATCCATAACCACTAACAGATGTAATCTCAGCTCACCAAGACTGTCTTGACTTATGCTTTTCAAGAGCATACTTAGTGAGGAGGGACTTTAAGATATCTTTTTCACACCTTTAAAATTCACATGATTTTTCACACCTTATAAAGTCTAGTAGAAATGCAGAATATATCACAGGTATAACTTTTTCTTAAAACTGAGACAAATTCTACATTTTGGCTGACAACAGAACTCTAAGCTATTGCAAATCAGCAGTTCTGGGCTACAGTCCTTGGGGTCTCAAAGAGTCAGGCACAGCTGAATGGCTAACACTTTCACTTCACTTTCATGTATTTATATATATGTGTGTGTGCCTATATATTTGTATGTATCTTTATGCACATATACATATGTATATATATTCATGTGTGTATGTGTACACACACACACATATATGCAGTGGTTCTGACAATGTCATTCCTGATAATAACATTACCAGCATCACCTGAGAACTCAGACATGCAAATTCTTGGGCTCCACCCCAGACCAACTGAATCAGAGTGTCTGAGAGCTGCGCCTGGCCATCTGCACATGAACAAGCCCTCCAGAGGATTCTGATAGATGATAAAGTTTGAGAAGAACCATTGTATCACATCGTTAAAAAGTTTTATTCATATTAAAATATTTTCCACCATTCTCTTGGTTCCTGAAGTCTCATTAGATTGCAGATTCTCTGGTACCATAGACACAGAGGTTATCATAGATTAAAGTACCCACCGAGAGGAAAGTTCTAAAGTCAGAAATTGGCAAATCTGCTAGAACAGGACCAGACCTATGATGTCACAGTGATAGCAATCATGATTAGTCATAAGCAGCAAGTAAAATTATAGCCATCCAGTAACTTTTATACACTAAACACATTCCGTTTCAATCAACAAACTACCTTTGATCTAGAACACTTTTTACCAGGTGTTATTTAGTTTACAAAAAAACTGAAAACACACCACGATATGTTCATATTTGCTTTAGCTCTTCTATGATTTCTTCCCTGTTTCTATAAACATGACTTGGAGAGCTTTCAAATGATGTTTGTTTTTCATAAAAGAGAATCAGAATAATCTGTGTTTATGTTCTAAATATATGTACATGTTAAGACTGCAGTCAATAATGTGACTAATATTAGGATTAGCTTAGGATCAGCTAATATCCCTTAGGATCAGCCATATTTTCAAGCTAATATCTACTGTGTTCAGGATGCCAGAAATTACATACTCAGGTGACTAGTATTAGTTGATAGGTTGGTAAACTCTTGTTTTTAGAATAAGAATCTGCATGTTTTATTAACCCATCATTTTTTCTTTCAAAGTCATTCCTTTTCTAATGTTCACTAGTCATTCACATAGTTAGCAGGGAAAATGATTAATAATTTTGTTAATTAGAGGGTGACGTTTCCATTTAATTCTAAGTCAATCTATTTATCTTGTTTTTTAATCTTATTTTAATATAGTGTTCATTATGGCTACCAGCAATCAAGACTGATAAACATGAAATTAAATTTCATGTATATATGTTTGACTTTCCAGGTTTTATTTTTCACAAGAAGGCCCCCAGACTCAGTCAACACTTTCTTGGGCTCATGCATTTAATCAAGTCCTAGTGCTTTATTTAATAATTAAAAGTGATTATTTTTACAATGAAAATTAGGATGAATTAATTTAGTGTTCTAATTATTTTTTTCTACTTTGAATATAAGCAGACAGTAGCCAATTGCATACATAGATTCATCACTCTTTGGAACCTATATAGTTATAATGTTCACTTTCCAGTGAATTTAAGCAGCTATTAGACAGCACATGTATAGAGTTGTGCAGGCTCTGAGTAGGCTGTCCTTCCATCCACATCACATAGACTAGACCTGCCTGTTAACAGCAGAGTAATGCATTCTACTCAGGAGCCCAGCTACAAGAGTCTTGAAATCTGGTCCTTGCAAGCATTGTTATTCTTCTGTGCCCATGGAGACCCAGATGCCATCAAAATGTCTGTGATAACCAACTCTGCCCCACAAAGACACCTAGACAGTCATTGGTTCATTCGTGTTGCTCACTGGGAAAAAAACAAATTGCAGTAAGATTTTCACAGAAGATGTAGGACTAAGAAATTAACGAAGTTGTAATATCAGAATGATTTATTTGGGGAAGGGCAAAATAGAATCCTCAAATAAAATGGCTGATGGATCGCTATTCTCCCTAGAGGCCATTTGACATTTTGAAGCAGTTAACATAAATGAGCTGCCTCTTTTACCAGGAGAAAAGACAAGTGAGCAGCACCCCGCGGCAGGCACTTGTCTTAAGTAACAGCCAAGCAGACCTTCTTGGCAGCCACAGAGGATCTCTAAGTGTCGATAACAGTTTATGAATTCTAAGAAGAGAGAGAGAGAGAATTGCAAGGGATCCTGCCCTGCAGTTCCCCTAACGGCTAATCACTTCCCAATAAAATAAGGAAGCAGAGTCCAATTTTATACAAACTGCAAAGCCTTTAAGATGGCAAATCCACACTACAGCTCTTTCCTAGCCAACTTACTGATAATTAGAGTAAATGTAAAGAGAGCCATTCCAATAAAATAAAGTAGGACTCACAAATTCAGTATATAATTGTCAGGGGAACAATAATACTTTATTTCAGATGCTTTATCTGTAGATGAATATTTTTGTGTGCTTGATATATTTTTAACCTGTTAGACTGTTAGAGGCTTGAACACAAATCTCCTATGTAGCAATACCATGCAAACTAGTTTCCAGATTTTCTAGACAAAACTGACCTAACAGAGTTACTTTTTGGGTTCTGGAGCAAATTACATAAGTTTTGGTGTGAAATATCATCTTAGTAGTAATAAGGTTTAATGGTTTAGAGGGCTTCCCTAGTGGCTCAGAATGGTTTAGAAAAAGGCAATAAGGATGGTAGGTTTTATGTGTCTTAATATAAAATATTAAAATCAAATTAGAATAGTTTTGGTCATCTAAGAAAAAAATAACACTAAACTCTTATTGCTGTTGAGATGCTGACCTCAGATACAGTCCGTGTTCCTCACAGTTCAGTTTATTTTTTGGACATGTGGTGGACTTCTCAAATATGCATTTTATTTATGACAAGAGAATATCACTTCTGAAACGTGAATGATACCATAGGGCATTAATCAAATCCTAGATGACAAGAAGATAAAAATGTGAAAATACCAATGACCCCGCTACCTTGTAATGGCTCTACTCCTTCCCAGAAGTCTGTTCATAACCCAGGTGTGTATATCCAGGGGCTTAAGATGCCATCCATCAGCACTTCTGCCCTCAAGTGAATAAGCACCTTCAGCTCAACTGTCTGAATTATGATATTTTCCTTCTAATTGTGTTGAGTGAAATCAGGCATCCCATAATGTCTCAGCTATTGGAGTTGTTACATTGGGCCAGAAAGTACAACATTCCTTCTTCTTCTTCTTTGACTTTTTTTTCTTCTACTAAGCGCAACCTCCAAAAAAGTGACTTTTAGCAATCATTTAGACCACAAAACCGGCATGTGGATATGTACTGATGCTCTGGGACAATCCATTGAAACCTGGCTGTTTAGTATTCTAAATCTAATATAGGACAGAAAAAAAAAAAACACCTTTAAAGATATTTAGCATTTTAATGGCCTTGGAAGTGTTTCTATAGAATAAGCTATCTTTATTTATGCTTTGTTCCCCCATTCAACTAACTACAACTTTAAAAATCAGTAATAAAATGCCAGCCTTGTTTAGTCATTAAAAAAAGTCACGTGTAAAGAAAGTCTCACTTAAGGGGAAAAGTAAAATGAGGAAAATTCTAGAGTTTACATATCTTAAGAGCCACAGAAATCAGAGTAGTGTAGTTATTTCTATTGTTAAGAAGCACTGTATAAACAATGAAATGGTATTTGTTCTATTTTTGACACATAATTTTTTCACCAAATAATTTACTGTTTCACTAAAGTGTAAATATGTCTTTCATTAGCCCACCAACAGAAGCTCAATGCTGGAATTTAGCACTTCACATACCAAGTCAATTTCAGAAGGGCAAAATTCATACAGACATTTAGGTGCTCACAGATTTTTACCCAGTATACATATAAATAAACTTTATAATTCACAAATGCTAAAAATGCAGACTTATTTTAGTGATAATAGGATTAATCCTCTTCCCTCCACAACCCCCCCAAAACCTAACGCAGTTTATAAAATGTATTTTTCAATCCTCAGTTGAAAAACTAAGAATTCCTTCAGATTAAAAATGTACATAAGTATTTATCATTTTACTTTTGTTACAGGTTATTCAAATAGTAAATGTTGTGCAGTTAGTAATATTTTGGTTTAAAATTCATTTGTCATCTGACAGTCACAACATTTTGATCTACTCAGAGTGATTCTAGTTTGAATAGCATTATCAGAAGTCTCTCATTTCATTTTCTCCCCGGAACTATACCTACAGGATGACTGTCATGGGCAGCTAAAATCTGAATCCATTAGTGAATTGTACCAGGTCATTTTTGAAATGCCAACTGAGTATATATACATTTAAACATACACATATACATCCATAGGGGCTTCCCAGATGGCGCTAGTGGTAAAGAACCTATCTGCCAATGCAAGAGACATAAGAGACACAGGTTCAGTCCTTGAGTCGGGAAAATCCCTGGAGGAGGACATGGCAGCCCACTCCAGTATTCTTGCCTGGAGAATCCCATGGATAGAGGAACCTGGCAGGCTACGGTCCATTGGGTCGCAAAGAGTCAGACACAACTCAAGCAACTTAGCACACATGCACGCATATACATCCGTACATATAATCTGTAATGGATCTAAGCAGTTTCTCTCTCCTTCATCCAGAAAACCTATAGGGACTTCCGACTACAGGGTGTGCTGGAAGGCACCCTGAACAGTAAGACCTATGATACCCTACACAGACGTTTAACAGTAGAGGAGGCTACAGCTTCTGTTTCAGAAAGCGGAGGACTTCAAGGCATCACGATGAAAGACAGTGATGAAGAAGAAGAAGGCTGATGACACGCAGCTCTGCAGAAGGAAGGAGGACCTTGACTTTATTTTGTACCTGTTCTTGTAATTACGTTGATTGTTTGGACCAAATATAAATGCTTGTATTTCACGCTACATTTAAAAAGTTAATGTGGAATTAGAGTTAAAGGAGAAAATGCAAGTATTTTTTTAAAAAACAGCCTTTTTTGTGTAGCTTGATCTAAAATGATGACCTCTGGCTGGCTCTGTGATTGGAACATGAATCTTTTTTTGAAGAAGATTTGACTTTTGTTTTCTGTAATAACATCAAAGTCATGTCCTGTGTTGTGAAGTGAGATATGTATTTCTCATGATACAACATTGTGAGAATAAGCCACTTCGAATCACTGTGCCAGTCCTATCTTATGTACCCTTGTTAAAATGGTGTGTACTTGACAGTTCATCATTTATGTGCAAGGTTTGTCTCCTAGTTAATTTATCATTGTTGTGATATATAACCTTGGTTCTTAGCACTCCAAATTGGTCTGCAGATGTATTCCTGGGCTTAAAGGATCACCAAACCCAAATATAGACTAGATTATCCAATGGACTTGTGTCTTATTCCATTCAGAATATGTCTTCTTTCAAATATAAGAAAAAATCCCAAAGTGTGGGTAATAAGTGTGCTGCCTTCAACACTCCATGTTCTGCTTCTCAGTGTAACAGCTTGCAGGCAATAGAAGTCTGCTTGGTCCTAACCACCTCTGTATTTATTAGAATTGTCTAAATTAAATGCAGTAAGAAATGTTAGCAGTATTACAAACATCTCAACAGTTTGGCTCTGTGTTTTTATTTTGTTTATTTATAATCAAATGAGTGTGAGATATTAACACTGCTTTCCAGCTAGTAGGCACACACTTGTTCAAAGAACTAGTTACTATGACAGCACATTTCCATAGCAAAGGTAATGTTGACTACATACTCATGTACAACTAGTTAACATTATCAATTAGTGTTAATAATGAGTAATACTAGAAATGCAAGTAATGTTAACTAGCAGTTGACATTAAATAATGAAAATTAAATAACATTTTTTCTTCCTCCAAAATATTTTCTGGCTATAATTTTGAATTATTATTTATCTTTGGATTTTATTTTTTTTTTCAAAAATATGTCAGCATTCATTCATAAGTAATTTATAAAATATTTTTAAATTGTTATTTATTTATTTGGGCTGCATGACATCCACGTGGGATTGTAGTTCCCCAACCAGGGATCGAACCTACGTCCCTTGCAGTGGAAAGCACAGAGTTTTAACCACTGTACCACCAGGGAAGTCCCCATAAATAATTTTTAAATGAGGTAAGTTAATGCAGAATAAGTGAAGGTACCCCTGAACTTGTGTAAACATAATTTCTGAAGCACTGGAAGTGAAACAACGTCTTGGCTCTCCACGTTTATTCTGGTGCCTGACCTAGACTAGCCCACAATTAAAATACTGTAAAATACTGTGTTCGTTTAGTGCTGGGCCCTAGGGATAGGAGACCCTATACTACAAGATAGACAGGATAGGACATTTCTTCTCCTTCCCTGGATTAGAGATCCACTATGTTGACAGGCAGTCTGTCTTGGAATGCTGTCTTCCTTTCTGGTCCACCATCACGCCAATACTATCCTTTTTTCAAGTCCTCGATTGTCCAGTCATGCTACCTTCAAATTCCCAGTGGTACCCTCCCCAAGGAGGCTCTGCACAGCTCAAATTGCTTTCTACTTGGAAATGACTCACACTTCTTTCCCTTTATGTCAAATGCCTGTTTCTTTGACACAGCTTGTTTGTTGTTTAGTCGCTAAGTCTGGTAAAGAATCTACCTGCCAAGCAAGAGTCGCAAGAGACGGGAATTCGATCCCTGGGTCGGGAACATCCTCTGACAGGTTACAGACCTAAGGGTTGCAAGGAGTCGAACACGATTGAGCACACACAGTTGCTAAGCCTTGTCCGACTCTTCGTGACCCTGTGGACTGTAGCCCACCAGGCTCCTCTGTCCATGGGATTTACAAGGCAAGAATACTGCAGTGGGTTGCCATTTCCTTCTCTAGGGGATTTTCTCCACCCAGGGATCAAACCCACATCTCTGGCATTGGCAGCCAGGTTCTTTACCACTGAGCCACCAGGCAAATCCTTGACACAGCATATCTAAGAGTAATTGGTCCATTTTGTCCTAAAATGAATAATTGATGACCCCACTCTCTTAGCCATATATATATATATAGCTGATAGAATTCAGAAATAAAGGGGAAAGCATGTATTGTAGGGGAAATTACTTGGGACCAGGAGGGTCTCGCTGCTGACCTGACCTATGTCACCCACCCACTAGCCTTCTTTGCTGGTCAGCCTCTTGTAGCTTCTCCCCACTTTGGGTATTCTTCCCTTGGACACCCAAGAGATATCTGAAAGTTTCCTCCCCGGCTCCAGCCTCCACTGGCTCTCACAGAGGACAACAGTCAAGAGCAGGTAGTGGAGATGCTCACGGTTGTATGAGGACTGTGTGGACTCACCTTTGAGCCACAGAACGGTGTGTGCAAAGAAATTTATAAAGTTTCCCTGAAAAAGAATGAAAAGTTATTTTTGGGTTTTTGCCCAGAAATGCTCTTCAACATAACTGCAAATTGCTTGAAATAACTTAATACATTATTGTTCATTGGTGTGTGTAATTGTGAGGGTGAATGCCCAAGCATCTGTCTATTAAAAGGAAGCCAAGTGTTGTGGTTTTTTTTAATTAAGAATTTAATTGAAAATCTAACAAATGTAGCACAATTTTTGAAATGAAAATAATTTTTAACTTAAAAGGAATCTCTTTACCCTCCTAAATGTCTTGAGAAAGGTCGGGGTGGGTGGGGGGTGGGCGGGGAACCTTTGGACAGTTTGGTGACTGTTACAAGAGAAAATAACTAATACAGTCTAATATCCAGCTGGAATGAGTTTGTTAAATAACACATCTACAGGGAAAGTTTCTTCATGCACTTGTTGGAGAAAAATAATAATAATGCCTTTTTCCCGGAAAGGGAAAGAACCACACAGAGCTTAATGGAAACCTCACAGCTCCAGCTGTGGGTCGTTCTTGTATTCACGGATTTTTCCACTTGAATTCCCTTTAGTTCTTGTTCATTGTCCCTCGCTCTGGAGAAAGGATTTCCTGCTACTTTTACAATAACCGCGCGAGTTGTGCAAAGCGACTCGGGGCTCCCGCCGCGCCCCCAGGGGCACAGCCGATCTGGCCCCGAGGCGACTGAGGGTGAGGGGGTCCCTGAGCTCCGGGAAGGTGCCCTTAGTGCGAAAGCGGCCTCTCAGCCATCGCCACTCCTGGACCCTGAAACCCCTTCCCTCTGCCGCTAGAGGGGCGCGCCCGCTGCCACCCCGCGAAGGCCCGCGGAGACCCCAGACCCGCACCCCGCGCACCCCGGGCCTCCCAGGGACCCTCCTGCCACGCCTTTAGTAAAAACGCCGATGTAAGAAATTAGAGCAAGAACTCGATCGCTTTTATTTCTTCCTCCCGACACAGAAGATGGAAATTTCCCGGTCCGGATCCCTAAAGGGAGGTGGCAGATCGATGTTCCCGAGAGCTGTTCACGCGCCGCTAGCAGGGCGGCGACTCGCCCTGAGATCGCGTAGTCAGTCGGCCCCCGAGCCTCTGCGCTCGCCCTTCCCCGCATCCCCCGCCCGGCCGACAACCCTCCACCCATCCCACCGCCGCGGGCTCAGGCCGGAGCTCCGAGGTCTAGTGTGTGGGGCTTCGGAAGGGTGGGGCTGGGTCCCCACGTCGGCCCCTCCACAGTGCTGTGCGGGGAGACGCCGTGGGCGGGGTTCTCCTTTTCCCTTCAAGTACGACTCTCTGGACCCGCAAGAACCTTCCAGAAAGGCCGACGGCTCACTTGGCCCCAGTATTTCGCTGCAGATGGAGTCAAGCCTAGGGGCCTGGCAGACGCAAAGAGGAGCGGGGTAGCCCCCAGCAGCAGGGACAGCTCCGAAGTGCCCCACCCCCCAAACTGGGAGCCCACCCCACCCGCACCCGGGTTTGGTCTGGAATATGCTGCGCGCACCTGCCTTCCTCTCTGTAAGGTTGAAGTAAGACACTTTAAGGGAGCAGAGGCGCCGTGAGCGCAAAGCTCTGAGAACTGGGTTATCCAGAAGTCACAGGAACGGTCAACCACAGCCTCTATCCGGGTGCTATACGTGACCCTTTGAAGGGAGAAGGAGACCCTGGAGTGTGAGTTATGTATCTAGAGAAATGAAGCTAGGCAACAATGCGATGTGTTCTCCCAGATGAAAAAGACCCCGATATAAAGAACTACCCAGAAGCGAATGCACTGACAGCTTTACGGGGAACCGTAAAGCCACGACCTTAGAGCTAGAAAAGCTTAGGTTTGAGTCTAGCACCTACACGTTGTCCCCTCGTCCGAGCTCTTGTTCTTAGGCAAGTTACTTAAACTCTGTAAAGAAGGTGATTGTGAGAGGTAGAGACGTGTAAGAAGTTGTGGCCATTGTTATATTTTTTTTAATGTATTTTTTTTTGGCCATACCACGGGGCATGTGGAATCTTATTTCCCTGACCGGGGATTGAACCCGTGGCCCACTGCAGTGGAAGTGCAAAGTCTCAACGGATGGACTGTCAGGGAAGTCCCCAGTTAACTATTTCTGAATGTAGGAGTGGATTCAGAAGAAACTGTGGGAGGTCAGTCTCTGCCAATATACACGACCACTCTCCCACAGCCCAGTTCCTCCGGGTTGGCTCAGGGTCCTTCTTGATCACAGTCATCTCGGCGGACCTTTAGCCCCGTCCCTGGCATGTCCGTGGACTGGCTAGAACTGTCCAGTTCCAGGGTTATTTATACGGCCAGCCTGCTGGGAGAGGAGGAGACAGGGAGAGTTAAGTCGATTATCTCCCAAGAGTGCCAGCATTGCTCGGCCTTGCGGTTGGGAGGGGAGACCGCTGGAGACGTGTCTTGGGGTCCACATGGGTATATTGTTGGCCAAGGCCTCCGAAACTGGATGGTTCTGATCTGGGGGTGTCAAACCAAAGCGAGGAATCCCAGGCCTCGGCCTGTGCCCAGCAGGTTGAGTTCAAGAGACTTACAAGGGCAAATTGCTGTTCATTAATGTTTTGCAAAGTTTAAGGAGGCTAGAAGGACGTCCTGAGTCAGCCCAGAGATGCTCTCACAGAAAGCGCTTGGAAAATACGAAGCGACATCAAGAGAGAGGCAGAGGAGGTCAAAGGCCATCCCGACCTCGGCCTTCGTGACCTCAGCCTTGGCAGCCAAGTATAAATGGCAGCGTTGAGGATGACCGCCAGCACGGAGTCTTGCCCCGAGCGTTGAACTGACAGCTCTTGTAGGCTGTTGGATAAACGCCAGTAGCGTGGAGACCCTGCGTGGGGTGAGGGCGCGCCCAGGGTCACAAACCAGGATGCCCGCCGTGGTGGGGGAGAGATGCCAGCCCCCCGTGGTGCGGGGGCCAGGCACACGGTGGCCTTGCGGAGGTAAAAACCGATCACTCACCAAAGAGAAAGATTCCGAGCCCTGCTTCATGCCAGGACTAGAGCTGCTTTTTTTTTTTTTAAATACTGGAGGGATGTTCCTCGGGCTGTCAGTCCTTTAAGATATCCTGCTTGCACCTTTCTGAGTTACAGACCTAGGGAACACGATTTCATGGCCCCACCCCCAGCTTCCCACTCCGGAATGCCAGGCGACTTTTATCTCCCCTACTTTGCAATTTTCTATTAAAGTTAGCTTTATTTGTGTGCTTATTTGCAATGCAATGAAAAAATAAATCAACCAATAATCATATTCTAGATTTGTCTGAAATCTCCTTTCCTGTTGTCCATCCCTTGGATCAGCGGTTCTCTGGTCGAGAGGAAGTGAAGAGTTGATTTCAAACTCAAGCACCATCAGGCATAGTAGACACTCTTTCCTGGGCCCTGGTACAGGCTTGTTTATGGAGCCTCTACACGGGTATGCACCTTTGCAAAAACAAAGTGGTGTGTCAAGTTCTTTTTCTACTTTGTCAATTCCAGTTTGCCTTTTTCTTTTTTCCCCCTCTCTTTTGTTAAAATAATTATTTATCTATTCAGGTGCATTGGGTCTTAGTTGCATCATGCAGGATCTTCTGTTGCCGCCCACGGACTCTCCAGTTAGAGCACCCTGGCTCAGTAGTTGAGGCATGTGGGCTTAGTTGCTCCCTGGCCTGTGGGATCTTATTTCTCCCACCAGGGAATGGAACCCCTGCATTGTTGCAAAGCAGATTCCTAACCATTGGACCACTAGGGAGGTCCCTGGTTTGCCTTTTAACACCACCTCCTTTCTGACATCCAACTGGTAACACCGCTCTTGGGTGTGACTGCCAGAAAGGAAACTTTAAATGCTGAAGTTTGTTGTTCAGGGTATTTCCTTAAAATGCCAAGGAAGCAAAACTAATTGTAACTTTGGAAGGAGATTTTGGTAGGGAGGTAGAAAAAAAATTCATTAAAAGGGGTTATATTAGTAAAAGGTCAGAACTCAACAGGACTCAATTTCAAAAAGTCAAAAAGTGAAACCCAGAAATGCCAGGGTAGCAGCAGATTGTATCAAAGGAGGGCTTTTGTTAAGCACCCCTCCCCACTCCCCACATACACACCCAAAGCTGGGTAATAATTTTTTAAAAATACATCAAAGTTGCTATATTGAAGAAGCTTATTTATAGTCATTTATTCAAACTGGGCAGTTTTGTTACACTGGGTGATTGCTAGGTGTGTTCTTTCATATTATTAGGACAGTATATCAGAAATTTGATTAATTTTAGAAATGCATAACAGCTTCTAAAGAGATGAAATCTGCTTTAATCAAATCGGGGTTTTTGAAAAGCTTTTGTGAAAGGTTAATTCGCACATCTACAGAAGAAATTGTCCTCTGGGGAACTCAAGGCTGGATGTGGGAGAGCAGGCCCCCAAGGATAAGGAAAGTCCTCAAGGTTGTGAAAAAAATAATTTAGCAAATGAGATTCTTCAAGTGTATTTTAGCATGTCCATGTCTATAACCAGAAAGCAAATCATTGAGCAGGACAGTTGTTTTAAAATACAGTTGTCTGAAGAACATTTGGGAAAAGTTTATAGCTTAACTTTTTAACAAGGTGATGGATAGCTTTTCATATGCAAAGTAGTTTTATTTTGAAATCTCTTTTCAATCTCAAAGCCTCCCAACAATAAAGTGGGCTTTGATTTAGTCCCATTTCACAGAAAAACAATTCAAGGCAAACAGGAACTGCCACCATCCATTCTGGTTAACAAGGAGTCCACTAGCTGTGTGGCCCTCCGCAAGCTGGCACTCCCTGGCTAGCAGGCCAAAGCAGGACGCCAAACTGGCATCGTTTATTTCAGCCCTGAAAATGTCTGGGACACATTGGTAGGAGTACTTACAAAGAAGAAGTTTCTTAGAGGGGAGGAAAGTTTCTCAATTTCAATGGCTAATTGAAGAAACTAGCTATAAAAGGATAGAAAGAAACAAAGAGGAGGAAAGAGGATTATTATTTACCCTTTATGGGGCAGCAATGGGGTGGGGGCGCTTAGTGGAGGCAGAATTCACTGCATACTTGAAAAAGTAGATGTTTTCTCCTCTTAAGTTCCTGCCTATACAGGTTTAACTAAAAGCTCTAAAAATTAAAATAACTGTAAACTGCTAATGGGTTGGACTGAATGTTAGAGAATGTGGCCAACTTTGCACACAGGTTTTGCAGAGAAAGGGGAGGCTGAAATAACAGTCAGCTGCAGGAAGGCAGAGATGGGAGAAAAAAGGCCTTTCCTCTTTCTAATTTCCAATGACAACCACATCGGCAACTGAACAAGAGGGGAGCGTGCCACTGCTCACCCACAGACGGACTAAACTTGCCAGCCAGAAGCACTCGGCGGAGGCACAGACCAGCCCAAAGAGTACCTGCACCAGTGCATTCTCGCGCTAAAATAAGGGGACACACTGGGATCCCACAAACCTTGTCCTTAGGTTTTCCCTTGCCCCGTGTTGCACAGGGAATCATTAAGAAAATGCCTCCAGCAGGGCTCCAGAATTTGAACTGGGGTGAACTCCGGAACGGTGAGGGACAGGGAGGCCTGCCATGCTGCAGTCCAGGGGGGCGCCAAGAGTCATACACGACTGAGCGACTGAATAGCAGCGACAATCCCCAGTGGTAAAGAATCCACCTTCCAATGAAGGAGATGCTGGAGGCAGGGGTTCGATCCCTGGGTCAGGAAGATCCCCTGACAAAAGGAAAGACTACCCACTCCCGTATTCTTGCCTGGGGAATCCCATGGACAGAGGAGCCTGGCGGCCTGCAGTCTATGGGCTCCCAAAGAGTTGGATACCACCGAGCCACTGAACACATACATCTGAGTTCAAATGCAGAAAGAAAATAACCTAATCCAAAAGATAAGACAGCAATTACACATATTTTGTAGCTACTGTGTTTTGCCTTTGGGTGGTATATTTATGTTGGTCAGGTGGAGCCAGGTTGACAGTGGGGTCTTCACTTATCTAGGGTAATAATAAAATGGAATTTCCTATTAATATTAATATTAAAAGGTAGTGAATTTGCTTTACAGATAAAAGGTCCACGTTAGCCAAATAAGAGGGGAACAGGTCCTTTGGAAAGTGAGGGACCCCAATTACTATCATGTCCACTGCCTTTTGAACACAGCATATGTTCTCAATTTTTAGAACTCTTCTGCCATCAATGAGAAATCTAAATCAGCATCACTAAAGCCAATCTCTATTTCTCTCCCTTTTTTTTTCTCCCTCTCTGCCTTTCCTTTCAACACTGTTGTGAAACTTCAGTCACTCTCCCGCGTGAGCAAAAAGCTCAGGGAATGAGCGACTGTGCCAACACCGGGAACATATCCAGGCCCATGGTGCGAAAAACGGAATATGTGCTGTAGAATTATTATTTTTGTCCTTTAGGTTTACATCGACGCCCTTGTATTATGTAAATTTCTGAGAAGCTGTGAATCACAGGGTTAGACAGAAGAGGGTCCCCCCTCCACCCCCGCCTCCACTTGCAGCAGGAACCCGACCCCATTCAGCCTTTGAATGGTTCACAGCCTTGTTTCTTCCTCCCGCTTTTTACCCGGACCCAGCTTGCCTCCCCGCCCTCGACCTCGCGGGTCTGCAGAGAATCAGAGCCGCCCAGCCGTCCCAGGAGCCGCGGCGGGCCGCGTTCCGGACGTCAGCCGGCCGTCGAGGTCAGCGCGGTTTCTCTGCGGCCAAGGTCCGCATGGGCGCGGGCGGCGTAGCTTCGCGGGGTTTCCTGCACCTTCTTCCTCTGTGAGACCGAAGGGAAAGTCCGAGGGCAGCAGCCCCACTGTTCGTGAAATTCAAAGACTCAACTGAACTTAAAGAAGAGACGGTGGGAAGAGAAAAGGGAAAAAGGACTTCCAAATTACTTCAAACTAAGAAGGCAATGATTTAACCTAACATGGTAAAAGTTGTCAGATTCCTTAATGACGGATCAAGCCTCATCTTGGGATCTTCCTGGCGTGGGCGTTACAGCGCAACTCTTGGAAAAGGATCAACAGCTGTGGGATCTGGTCTGAGAGAGGCCTTAGGGAGGGAGGTGGTGGGGATCGCAGAAGAGCGTCCGCCCCCACTGAGATGAGAAAAGGGGGCCGGTCAGTGGCTGAGCGATTCCTCAGCTTCAGGACTGGGGAAGCCCCCGCAGGTGGCGGCGGCGGCATTGGGCTCTGTCGACAGCCGTCCCATCTCATTTGAAGAGGGGAGAAAAAAAGTGGGGCTTGATAGGGAGAGTTCAGGACCCGGAATAAAAGGACAAATTGGAGAGTGGGGGCAAAAGGGTAAGGTAGAAGGAAATTATCTTAAAACAGGAGAATCTAGTTGGAAAATTCCCTCGCATTCCCCAGGACCGTCAGAAGACACGAACGGATTCTAAATTCAAGCAAAAGGGCCCGAAAGGATTCTTCGTGGGGGCGGGGAGGGGGGGCTACAAAAATACAGTACAGCACAATGGACTGAAAGGCTTTGCGGGGAGAACTCAGAGGTATCCCCTCCCCACCGTCTCCATGTAAAATTGGCTTAAGAAAGTGTTCGCTGGGAAACTCAAAATGACGGGCAAAACTAATAAAAAGATGCTCTAGTTCCTTCTTGGGCGTGTCACCGAGTCAGGCCTGTTTTCTTTCACCTGACATCTAGATTCAGTGACCCTTCAGTTACACTCTGAGTCGTCAAAGCAAGTCTATTAGCAAATGTTCTGTTCAAAAACTTTACAAACACGATTTCTCTGCCATCTGTTAACGCGGTCTTTAAACCCGATCCAGCACCCCCTCCCCCTCCCGAAACCCTTTGGAGGTTTTGGAGGACCCCCCCCCCCTTCTCGCAGCCTTGGGGGCCGGAGGGAGGGCAGCCGCTGCAGGATCCGCTGGGGTGCGCGGGGAGAGGGAGGAGCGTGATCGCGCCCGGGAGGGGCCGCGGGGCCCCCGGGGCTGGTGGTGATCCCCAGGGTCCGAGGTTAGAGGGATCAGGTCGGCGAGCGCGCGGCGCTGGCTGACCCGGCACCCCGGAGGACGAACCGAGGCCGCGGAGTCGGCTGGACCGGCATCGGCACCGCGCGGCGGGCGGGGAGGGAGGGTCGAGCGGTCGGAGCGGCGCCCCAGCTCGCGGCCCCCTCCTGGAGGCCGGAGCCACCGCCCCAGGCCTCTCCAAGGCCACCGCTCGGAGCCCGGTCGCCCTCGGTCTCGCTAACGTCATTTGAACTGTTTGGGACTCCTGAGGAAGAGCCAATGAATGGAGAGTCCGGCCGGGGAGAGTGGGTCAGCTTTTGTGTTTCACTTCGGGCTTCTATCACTTGGCTCAGCTCCGGCCTGTATATCGGGAGCGAGGCCGGCGCCCGAGCTCCCACGCCCGCACCGGGAGGCAGTCCCCTTCGGAGGCCGGGGCTGGGGGCGCCAAGGCACCGCCGAGGCGGTGATGGAGGCCCAGGCACCCGAGCGCTGAAGGTCGGCGCCGGGCGCTCCGACGGCAGGGGTCCGGGGAGGTAACTGAATTTATAAACGACTGTCAGAAAGTTCTTTCTCGACCAAAGATTGTGATTTCCCTCGATTGTTTCTCCGTTTTGCTAAGCTCATTCATTGCTCTGTTATTTGAATGGTCATGTCGACTTTTATTTCGTGAGAGATAAGGAAGAAACTTGGAAAATAAAAACCGCTCTAAACCTCGTGCGTAATATCAAGGAAAGATTCGCGTTGTGTGTTAAATACATTTTTTATTTCGACCAAAAGAGCACCTTCAAAAAGAGATCCCGACTGCGACAAAACGCTCAGCGCCCAATTGCATAACCGTGCTATCAGTGCGGGACAAGAGCCTACTTGAGGTGTCCTTCTTCTCATTGTTCACTTGCCGGGTTTCAGTAACACCGTTGTAAATAACCAGCAAAACTTTGCTGGTTTTTTGTTGCTTAACTTCTAGGCAGCTCCTCCAGTACGTTGGAGAAATTGGGTTGCTTGTTTATAAACTTCATTTTCCATCAAGTCCAACCCTGAATCGCAGCCTGGTAGTCTGCAGGGAAAACAGTTCACAGGCCTGTGGGAACGGGTGAGAAAAAGCCCAGCGTTAGTGGAAGGGCAGAAGCAGACCCAGGGCAGGTGTCCTGCCAGCTCATTACCAGGTCTCACCTTTGGGGCTCTTCATTTGCTCTGACAAACTGACCTAATATGCAAATGCTGTTTTGAGGGGAATAATTTCATTTGGTTTAAGGGAAACCGTAATATGAAAAAAAGAGTAACAGCAAAGACCTAGGGATAAACAAGCCATATCCCCACCCCTCCTCCCTCAAAAGAAAGGAGGGGTCTTCCAGTTAACTAATCTCCTAAACTCCTAACCTGTGATACTTACTGCCTTTCAAGTGCTTTATGAAATTAGCAGGAATTTCTTATTTGTTACCAAACTAACCAAAAGTAGAAGCCTTAAATCTGAACTCTTGGCCCGTGTATTTGTTAATGTCCTGGCAAGTTCTCACAGTATATTCCTGAACTAATCAGAGGAACACAACAGACTCTTTTCTTGAACTCTGCAGACCCTTCCTATTTGTGTCCTATTCCATCACCCGCCTCCATCACACACAAGAAATAACAAAAGACCAGTCAGAGATAAAGACTGAGCAAAACTGTAGGAGAATTTATGAATGTTTTTCCTCCTCTAGAAGGAAGTACATTACCCCGGTACTATTTATTAAATAGGAAAAAAGGGGGGATGAATCTAAATGCCTGGGAAAGTGTAAGGGATCATCATCATAATCTCTTCTCTCTTTTTTAGCTTTCAGTAACTAATAAGAAGCAAAAAGAAAGCCGAATAGTTGCTTTTGATTAAGAGGTGGGGGTGGTAGATGTTGGAAAGCCCTGAAAACCTTAAAAACCTTAAAAATGTGACTGGGGATGAAATAGTGCACTTGGTAGGAGGATGAATACATTATAGTATTTCCCAGTCTACTTTTTATTTTTTAAATATTCAGCAGTATTTTGTGATATCAAAGACAAAGAGGTTAAAGGTTGTGGATTATTTGGTAACTGATGGCTCTATTATATTGTCTTCTATTGCAGATTGCACTAATCATGACCCGTAATGGCATTTCCTTGTGAGAGGTACGTAAATGAAAAGCCTGTGAACATTATGCAAGTTCTTGAAAAATATCAAGAACACAGGTTAGGAAGCATTGAGATGAAAATCAGATTCCCTAGAAAAAAGAAGAGAACTTTATCCATCAGAGGGCAGACAGAAAAAAAAAGAAGATAACTTTAAATTACTTTTGCAAAACAGAACTTCTTTCTTTTCTCAGAAGATAACTTTAAATTACTTTTGCAAAACAGAACTTCTTTCTTTTCTCAGAAAGTCTTAAGTTAGAGTTTGTTACCTGGTTTCTTCTTACCAAAGGTTTTTCTGCTTCCCTTACCCATCTCATGCAAGATAAACCACCCATTTGAAATTCACCTTCCATGAGGATTTAAAGTAGCCTTTCTGTGGCTGGGAAAGGGAGGGATACTTAATGGTCAGTTCTAGTGAGCAAAGGGGGATTATAGGATTCTCCAAGAAAATCCAAAGAAACCGAGTTTCTATTTTGCCATTAACAAAACAAACAGGTCTCCTTTGCATCCTTTTAACAAACAATTTTAAAGTGTTGAACTGTTATAGAAGCCTCTAAATTTGTCAAATAAACTCTACTTTCATTGGTGGTGTTTTTGTTATTGTTATTTTCCAAATGTGCTTGGAAAAAACCCAAAGTACTGGATAGATTTGTTAATAAAATGGAAGAATTTGCTGAATGTTGTGCAGTTTGTTTCAGAGTCCTAACTTAATAGAGATTTTAAAAAATTAACATATAGGTTAGTTTTTTTAATGGAAAATATTCAGAGAGTGTTAGACTCACAAGACCTGGATTTATAAAGCACCTCCTCAGTCTTTAGGGTAAGGAAGATCCAGTCTAGTAAAGGACGGGTATAATTGCTACTTTGCGATATTTGTGTTACTCAAATGACACTATACTTTCAGACAACACTTGTCAAAAAGGCAAATCAGCAAGAGACCAGTGAAAAGCAAACCATTGAAATATTAACCCTACCAAACACATATACTTTAGCCAATAATTTTCCTTTATAGTTCAGTGTCCGATGAAGGAGAAATTTACCGGGGTCAAATCAAGGCTCTTAGCCGTTAAGAAGGAGGGAGGGGGGAGGGGGAGAAGAGGGAGGGACACGCGACAAACGTAAAACAAACTGGTGGCATTCAGGCAAGGAGACAGGTAACCTTCCGGAAGCGGGTGAGTTGTACAGGTCAGCTAAGCGCTCCAAAGCTTTCCAGAGTCGGGCAGTTTCGTGCTTCTTTGCTCTTTCCTTTAAACCTGGCACTGCATCGGAGGCGTGCAGCAGTTGGGGGGGGGGGGCCGGATTTTTCGATGTTGAGAACCGGCAGGTAGGAAAGGAAACCTGATCCGCCCCCAAAAGGCAGCAATTAAAGTCTTAACCGCGATCCATCTGTCGTGGGACCCCACCCCCACTTTCCGTTAGCAAAGCCGTCCGGCGCTCTTTGTCTGAGCAGGGGAGAAGACACAGACAGGTTCGGCGGCCCCAACAGCAAACGGAAAGACAGTTTCCAGCCTGGGCACACCCTGGTTGACTGGGCTTGGGTCGAGGTCCTCTCCAAAGTGCCCCCGGGGGTGTGGTGCCTCTTCCGGGCCCCCGGCCCGCGCTCTGCGCTCGCCCCATTCTGCACTTCTCTACCGCTGCATCTGTCCTCTCAGCCCGGCGCCACCTCGAGACCTGAAACCGGGCACTTGCAGGCCTAGTGGCTGAGACCGGTTGCATCTGGGCCTTACCCCCACCTGGCCCTTCGGCTACCTTCAACTTCCAATAGGACTCACGCCTCCTCCCCCATCTCCTTAGCAATTGGGCTTCCCCCACCCCCCTCACCCCGATCCAGCCAGCTGCTCTGCTTCGCGGTTGGGCATCCCTCCGGCTCTCCCAGCCCAGACTCTCTCGGTTTCCACTCTCCTTGGCCCGCCGGGCAGAGGCGGGATAGATCCCCCAAAAAGGACAGAGGGAGTGGCCCCTAGCTTCTGCGGGGCAATGGGGTAGGGAAAAGGAACTGTTTTGGAGTATTTTGAGGTCAATTTCCTCCGCTTGGGGTCCAACTTCGCATTCGGTGTGTAATTGACCAGCGGCTCAACAATTCCAGGGTTTCTAGTCTGCTCGCATCCAGCTTCCCACCGCCGACCCTTTCCATCGCTCCTGCTGAAAGAGGACGCCCACGCCCGCTTGGCCCGATGTCTGGCACCCGCCACCACCCGTTCTACACGCACCCATTCGGGGTAACTCACCAGGTAGATGGCATCCTGCGCTGCTGCGGGTGGCCACTCACAAGGGCTTGCAGGCCGCGAGACCCGGGAGCTGGCATCTCTGCGCTGTTCCTCTGCCTCCCGGCGCGAGCTCCCGCCTCCCACGTCCCTCCGGTGCAGCGGCTAGTGCTTGCCGGGCACTAGCACATCTGGCCGCAAGGCTAAGCTCTGCACGATCGCAGGCTGGCCAAGGGGAGCGACCAGGACCGTGCGCACCGCTGCGCCCGGAGCGCTCCTGGCCGCGCCCGCCTGAGCGGTGAGAATCCGCGCTGCCGGAGTCGCTGGCCCGGGAGTCTTCCGGGAACACTCCTTACGCTCTGCAACCACTCCCGGGGAGTTTTGGCCCAGGCGCCACACCCAGAGCGCGCTTGGAAGAGAGGCGTTGCAGGAGAGAGTCTCCAAGCGCTCTCTGCGAGGCGGAAGCGCGGATAAGGCCACTCCCGGAGCGAAGGCAGGTCGCTGTGCTCATCGCCCCCATTTGCCCCCCTGCACACTCACCCTGGCTGTCGCCCGCGCTTCTTTGGGGAGGCGTGCGGACACCAGCAGTCAGAAGATTGGAGCGGGGAATCAATAAGATTGCTTCCCTTCTCTGCCCAACAGTTATTTAAAATGCTCCGAGAGAGCTCTAGCTCAGCGCAGGTACTTAAAAGACTCGTTCCGGGAGAGCGCGCGCGTATATTTGTGTGTGAGGGGGGCGGGAGTGGGCTCGGTCCTAGTCGAGGTTTCTTTTGATGCGACTCCCACTTATTCCCTGCAGCCCGTCCTTAACTTTGCAGATGGAGGCTGTCTTTCCCAAGCTTTTGCCATGGCATCGCACTTACAAAACCACGAACGCAAAACAAGCTTCCGAAGGCCTTTAATTCTCAGGGGCATTTAGGGAGGCCAGTTACCTGCTGGCGTCTTCCAAATGGTCCAGAGTCGGTTCGGGCCTCGGAGACTTCGGGATTCCGGGAGCCCTCGGTCCCGGGCCCCCGAGGAAGAGAGAGACTGCGGAGGAGGAGGCGCGGCTCCCACCCGGGTCCAGTACCGGCCCGGAGGAACCTAGCGGGGAAGGCTAGGATTTTGCTACCGGAGGCTTCCTGGCCGTGGCTTTCTAGAGCCTGGCGTTTGATAAATATAGCCTGGCGTTTGCCCCTGAATTAGAGTCTGTTTCCTTATTTAGCCCTTGCACAATGATTTTAGATGATGTCATTTAGAGCTAAACGAGAAAATTGATCTCAGATTTGCTTGGCCTCTAAAGCCTGGTTAAGCAGATTGAGAATTAAAAAGAGAGAGGAAAAAGCAAAGGTGGGGGGGGCGGGTGGAGGAGCCCGAAGTGTGCGCTCAAGAGTGTGTGCGCGGAGGGGAGGGCCCGCCGCGCGGAGGAGAGCGCCCCCGCCTCTTCTGGGCGGGGGAACCTCACTCACCAATGAAAAGTAGTCACTGACTGCCGAGGGGGAAAAAAAAGTTTTCCTGTTGACTGTTGGAAGCGAACTGAGCAATTATCTAGTTTACCTTCTCCTCTTGGAAGTTAACGATTGGCGAGATCTTGGCTGCGTTATTGACACAACACTTTCTATTGATAGAAATAAGTAGTGATTGTCCCCGAGTCATTGGTGCGCCAAGAACTCTGCGATGGGCTGGCAGGAGTCCATTGGGCTGGGCAGGCAGGTTCGGCTGGTGATGCTGGGGAGGAGGAGGAAGAGGCTGCTGGTGGTGATGGTGCCCGTCCCCCTCTCCGCAGGTCTGTGACAAGCAGGGAACAAGGCAACGACGGCGCAACCCGGCCCCGGCTGACGACGGACGCTGGCGACTCCGACATGGACAGTAGCTGCCACAACGCGACTGCCAAAATGTTAGCGACTGCTCCGGCCCGGGGCAACGTGATGAACACCTCCAAACCCTTGGCTTTCTCCATCGAAAGAATCATGGCACGCACCCCCGAGCCCAAAGCCCTGCCCGTCCCCCACTTCCTGCAGGGAGCCATGCCCAAAGGGGACCCCAAGCACTCGCTGCATCTTAGCTCGTCGATCCCCTGCATGATTCCCTTCGTGCCTGTGGCGTACGACACGAACCCCAAGGCGGGGATGACGGGCTCGGAGCCCCGGAAGGCGAGTCTGGAGACTCCGGGGGCCCCGGCCGCAACACCCGCGGCGCCCGCGTTCAGCTGCAGCGACCTGCTCAACTGCGCGCTGAGTCTCAAGAGTGACCTGGCCCGCGACGCGCTGCCCCTGCAGCAGTACAAGCTGGTAAGGCCGCGGGTGGTCAACCATTCCTCTTTCCACGCCATGGGCGCCCTGTGCTACCTGAACCGAGGCGACGGCCCGTGCCACCCGGCGCCCGGCGTCAACATCCACCCGGTGGCCTCCTACTTTCTCAGTTCCCCTTTGCACCCGCAGCCAAAAACGTATTTAGCCGAAAGGAATAAACTGGTGGTCCCGTCGGTGGAGAAGTACCCCTCGGGAGTAGCTTTCAAAGACTTGTCTCAGGCTCAGCTGCAGCACTATATGAAAGAAAGCGCCCAGCTTCTGTCGGAAAAAATAGCATTCAAAACCTCTGACTTCAGCCGAGGCTCTCCTAACACCAAACCCAAAGTTTTCACTTGCGAAGTGTGTGGAAAGGCAAGTCACTTGGCGGGGGGTGGCGGGGGGTGGGCAGGGGGCGGTAAGTCTGCCTTCCTTCCTTCTAAATTTACTTTGTAATTATTTGTATACACTTGTTAGAATGTTATCACCTCCTTCCCTTTCCTCTACCCGGGGGTGTTCTCCAAGGGCTGTTTGGGCTAACCTGTTGTACTTGTGTTTAATTTTAAGGTCTTTAACGCGCACTATAACTTAACCCGTCACATGCCGGTGCACACAGGAGCCAGACCCTTCGTTTGCAAAGTGTGTGGAAAGGGCTTCCGGCAAGCCAGCACCCTGTGCAGACACAAGATCATTCACACCCAGGTGTGTTCGACTGTGTCAGTTTCACCTGGTTTGTTTCCGAACTGTTTTGTTTTTGTTTTTATGGCCGATAAACTCTTACTCCTTACAGTTAAGGTTTGTTTGAAATGTGCCGGCTGGACGAGGGGGAAATGCCGGTACTGTTTGCCTTTGTTCTGCTTAAAAGCATGAGGGAGAGCATGACAGTGTTTTTGAGTTTTTCAGACTCCACTCACTAACAAAGTACCTTCACTTCCCTGCTTGTTTCTTCTTTCCGTTTAGGAAAAACCCCATAAATGTAACCAGTGTGGCAAAGCGTTTAATAGAAGTTCTACTTTAAACACGCATACCCGAATACACGCAGGCTACAAACCGTTTGTGTGTGAATTCTGTGGCAAAGGATTTCATCAAAAAGGTATGGAACCCAGGAGGCGTTGTCTTTCGCGGGAGTCTTACCGAAAGCCCTCAGTTCTGGGGGCTGTTTTGGAAGATGTGTTTTAAGTGCATCTAGTTACCGGCGCGTGCGTTGCCTTTCCAACCTCCTACCCGTAAGTGGGATTAGACAAAGGCATGGCTCCTACACTGAGGGGATATTTCTTTTTAACCTCTTGTTCTCGTTTTATAGAATTGGATTAATAACTATTGTATTGAAATGTGGTGTGAACGACTTCATGGTCGATATTTTAAAATAACTTCGGGGAGCCGAGTGCAGGTGGGCAGCTAAGTCCTGCCCGACGCTGTCGGATCTGTGGCCTCTCTTCTCCCGCCTCCTGGTCCCTCCATCGTCTGCTTCTCCCTTTTCAAGCTTTTTTCAGGTCCACGTCCCTGTCGTTTGTCTGTTGCAGGGAATTACAAAAACCACAAGCTGACCCACAGCGGGGAGAAGCAGTTCAAGTGCAATATTTGCAACAAGGCTTTCCACCAGGTTTACAACCTCACGTTCCACATGCACACCCACAACGACAAGAAGCCCTTCACCTGCCCCACGTGCGGCAAGGGCTTCTGCCGGAACTTTGACCTCAAGAAGCACGTCCGGAAGCTACACGACAGCGGCCTGGGGCTGCCGCGCGCGTCGGCTGGGGAGGCAGGTGCGGACCCGTCGCCCCCTCTCCAGCCGCCGCCGCCGCCGGCGACGCTGCCGCCTCTGCCGCCGCCGCTGCCCCCCCCCGGGGCCCGTGCAGCCTGGGCTCCATCCGGGCCACCAGTGATCAAGGCCAAAGTCTCTTCCCCACCCCAGCCGGGGTCCCCACTCCCGAGACAGCTGGCGGAATAGAGCTGGACCTCTATACCCAAACTCTTCTGTAGAACCCAGGGCATGTTGGGCCCCACGCGTTAGCGCCAACCAGAAGCCTCTGAATCCCCCGGTCTTTTCGCCTCTTGCATGCACCTGCTACATGGTTTCGTGTATTATATGCTATATAGGCACTAGCAATTATGAGAAAACTTGGGGGTTTGTTTGTGTTCTGATTTATTTTTTTTAATTTGGAAAGACTTTCATCTCGGGTGGAGAGATGGTGTTTCTTTTGTTTTTTAAAACAAATTTTCTGCTGTATTTATTGAGATCTGTATTATCCTACGCGGGGATGCTGCAACTGTTTTTATTTTATTATTGTATATATTCCCATTGTGTTGATTCTGCAATCTCGAAATGCCTGCCGATTGTTTATTACCATTTCCTCTTTCCCTGAGGTAAAAAAAAACTCTGTGTGTATGTTATATATACACGCATAGATGTGTGTGTCTGTTAAGACACATGCCACATTCATGAGCGCACACGCACATATGCACACATACACGTTAGATAAGGGTGGTTCATTATGGATGAATTTGAAGTTGAAATTTTGGTTTTGATTCTTGCACGTGAAAACTGATTCATTGACTGTTGGAAATAAATCCTTGGAACATGCTTATTTAATCAACAACCTTCAGGGCTCTGTTCCTGTTTTTCAGCTAGAGATCCCTGATTCTGACCCCCTCAGCCTTCTTTTTCAAAATAGTCAACCATGGATTAGTACCGCCCAATGTTCTGAAAAATTCACCAAGAGCAAATAATAGTCTCTCCAAATAAGACCAAATTGTTACAACTCTGGTAAACTAACGAAATTTGATTCCGTTCAAAGACAGAAGATGTGGAGCTTTCTAACAGGAGCATATCTTTGTCCTGGACCATGGGATGTGTTTGTGGTGCAAAGTTAAGTGAGAACAACATATCTAGAAGGTGCATGTAATATGCATCTTCACACAGGATTACAAGGATGCCTTGTAGATGGGGGATCTATTGTTCATATCCTGAAGGCACATACTGACTTGTACACAGCTGGCAAAGGGAGCCTGCATGTTTTTATGTGTCTGTGTATGTTTGTAGATGAATATACCTCCATTCAAGGAGGAAACATGGATGAAAACCAAACTGTGGCGGGTGCCAGGTCCTTGAAATGCTTCAAGTGTTAATCAGCAGCTCTGCTGTGAGCTTGGGCTCTGGTGTTTTCTAACTGCAAGTCTCTCCTGTTTTCTTGCCAAAACAGTGAAACAACTGCTAAAGACTTTAATTAAGAGGGGTAATTAGTTCAGATTTATCAAAGCCGGGTTGTTATACTATTAGCTGCTAAGTAGAAGCTGCCAGACAAGCTCCCAGCCCAGGCCAGCCATCCCGCTGCAGCGGGGCCACATCCAGGGAGAGAGGCTGGGGGTGGGGGTGGGCAGTGGGCAGCAAGGGTCCTCGTAGTCCCGGGAGCCTCGGGGTGCCTCTCGGCCCCTCCCTCGGCCTGGCGCTCCGGCCAGGCCAGGCTATGATGCAGAATCCCCCGCGGATCCTCACCTAGAGCTTAGGACCCCCTCCCGCACCGGGGCAGGGCGGTCTTCCCGGCCCTCCTAGTACCTCGACGGCCCCAAGAAGGGTTCGGGAAAGGAGTTTAAATTTTTGATCTGGCCTCTCTTTTGTAAGCCTTGGGGGGCGCTGAAGGAAATGCGGCGAGAGACGACAGGCAGGAGGAAGGGAAGATCTGCAGGGGGCACCTCCCGGCAAGGCGGCGAGTTCCTTGCCAACCAGAGCCCCGCATTTTCAGGTAGTGGAAGGATTGACGGCTTCCAGGATCCCTTGGCGGTCCAAGAGTCAGAGAGGTGGTAGACACCCTGGGTGAGGCGACCACCGACGAGTGGGTGAACAGGTCCCACAGGACACCCTAGACAAGTTCTACTGGACCCCTCTCAAGTTGGGGAGCCCAAGAGCCCGGCACGGAGTGGACAACAGAGCTTCCGAGAGTCAGGGATTCCTGGTTGCGCTTGCAGAGGTCGGGTTGAGACTTCTCAGCCCTTGATCTGGGACGCACGCCCTTCGTCACCCCATTGGCCCCAGGGGCACTGGGACTCTGAAGTCCCAATCTAGCAATCTGGAAATCGAACCCCAAACTTTCTCCTTTCTTGACCTCCCCACACCTCACCTTATCCTTTGCTGAAACTAGATCCCTGTTAAATTTAACTTCAGAAAGAGATGCAGAGTTTTGAAATTCCATAGGTGGGTAAATTCTGAATCTGCGAAGCTGGCAGAACGGCCATTCCCGTTGAATATCGCATCCAAGTGGAAAATCTTGTCCGAGCTGCTGGCCACATTCTCTCAGAGCTGCCTGAACCCCAGGGAGCTTGGGGAAAAAGTCTTCTAGCTTATGGGCACCCACTGTTTCCGAGGTGGCTTAGCCGAATCTTGAAAGCGTTTGTTCTCTTCAGGTACACAGAATGAAGTCAGAGGTCATTATAAAGGGCAGAAAATGGCCTTTGCCTCTTGAATTTATTCTCAATAAGTATTTGAACTTATTCTCAAAACCAGGATGTAATTCTCCCGGACTTTCAAGGTTACACAATTTTACTGGTGGAAAAGAAAATGAGCATATTTGAGGAAAATTGCTAAGCCATGAAACACTTATAGTTAGGAAGTACTTATAAGTGGTCCTCCCATCTTTTAGTCCCTGCCAGTGTACCTTGACTTGTGTTGAAAAATAAGTTATCTAGGGAAGGATAGAATTGGTCTGCTGGGGGTGGTGGGCGAGGTATAGAGGACCTGTTACTGTAATCTGGAATGACCTTTTGCAGGTCTGATTTGGGATGGGGCAGCCATTCCAGAGAAGACAGGCAATGGAACTGTTGTCTGTCTGGTCACAGGTTTCAGTAGCCTGAAGTAGTGATGATTAAGTAGGAGAAGCCAGAAGGAAATTCTCAAAACTAAGCACTCAGGAGAACTACTTGTCAGGAGGTGAATTATTGATGAACTTTGATTTATGACAAAGCTGTTAGAACTCACTGAACATCAAGGAGAATCTCTTTAAAGACAGGATGAGCTTAGAGATTAGTTGGAGTGGTGGCGGCTGGAGGAGGGGGTGTTGAAAATTGATGAAAAGGGCTACTTAGCTAATAGTCAATAGAAGACCTTACAGTTCTCCCACTTCCAACAGATATTAAAAAGTGCCCCTTCACTGTCTAACCTGAATGTTTGTGTTTGTGTGTGCTTATATAAATGTCTGTTTTCATTCATGAGATAGGCACCCCAATGGTATGCATCACAAATTGACTCATATCCCAATCCACTTTCTTTAGTCAGCAAATTCTCTTCTTTATGAAGGAAGAATGGCCAGTGTTCAGATTATCTGCAGAGGGAAACGGTTTATCTTCAACTCTCAGCTGGAGTTATTAATAACTTTGGGTACGAGGGGAAGGCGGCCCATCAGACTGCAGGAACCAGTTTTAGAAAGTTACTGATCTGGGCCTTATGTTTTGTTCAGTTTGGGGAAACAGAATGTTGAATGGAATTAATAACATAAGTAGTTAACGCCTACCAATTTTATTTTAACCCAGATCCCCAATTCTGATTTCTAATCTTCTCTTCTCAAAGGATATAAAATGTTCCAACTTTAAAAAATTTAGTTTGAGAACAAGTGGTTATTGTGCAAGATTAGGACTGACGTGTCAATTTTTCAATAGTAAATGAAAGCATTTTTAGGGGCTCATCAGAGCAGTTATTTGTTCATGAAGTTTACAGCTTAGTGAGTTTCTTATAGAACTTTGCTCCTTTCTAAATGTGAAAGGAATGAATCCACAAGGTGCAATGGAATCTAATTTCCAGAAATGTGAACACTATTTAATAATTGCCCCTTAGCAGTAGATAAGTCAGAAATCATAATTTTGTTAGATATGGTAACACAGCATTGACTAAATTATAACTGTAATGGAACATTTTGTCTCTGAAAAATATTTATCTCCAAATATATAGTATAAAATACAAATGATCTCAAATTCAAAATTAGGGGTTTTTTTTCTTATAGAAACATTTTTTGTCACTTTATAAACCATTTTAATAGGTAAAACCTTTATGATGCATAAAGTTTTTGATTTTAAGGGGTCATGACTTGCTCTGTTACAAACAGTATATTTTCAAAAGCATGAAAATTAAACAGAAACCTAAATCTCAGTGGGTAAGAATATGCAGTTGTTGTCTGGTCCCAGAAAACTTTGCCTTTTTCTATATTTTTGCCAAAAACACATGTTACTTTCACACAAGAAATTGTTTCCATTAGATTAATTAAAGACCAAAAAAATCATATTTGCAATTATAAGATACCTTATTATAGATTTCATTGTTTCTAGAAGTCTATTCATATGTCCATTCCTAGCTCTAGGCAGACTAAAAACAAAGATACGTTCATCAACACACTGGTCATTTATATTCTCTTGGTGTTGAAGCAATTGCCAGTTCAAGCCAGGATAAGTTACTTACTCCAGGCAATAAAGAAGAGAAAGCTTGGTTTTTAAATGACCTCAATAGGAAAATCTACCTCTGCTATTATATTTTTTCTGCTTGTATTGTGACATGTTGCCCATAATGAACTTTGAAGAAAAGTCAAAATTCATCATGCATTTGACCATTCAAATATCACAAATAACCATACACATTTTCTGTTCAAGTTCAAGGTGATTTTGGTGTCAAATGAATTCATATTGCTATTGGTCTTATGAAGATCAAGTTACTAAATAAAAATGAAATAAAATTCTGTCAATAGAAGTCTCCAGGGCTAATATTTTGCTGTCAAACAAACAAATGTTGCTCACGGGTACAAAGCTATGGGAGTAGGGAGAGACAGCATCATATACCAGTTCCTCACTCAAGCTACAAATCTATTCCCCAGTGAAGAACAGATTTCCAGTCTGATTGAATGCTCTT